GGCCCTGAGGTGTGTGCTCTGGAGTTGAGCTGTCCCTCGGGGCTGTTCGGGCAGATTTATGGGCCTCCTGTAGCTTCACTTTCACTTCCTGCCAGGATCAGAAGGGTGACTAGTTCAGTTTCCTCAAAACTAGCTCTCCTGCCCCGTGGTGTCCTGTAATGCCGTGAGCCATGAAGCCATGACCTGGAGCCAGGTGTCACACTGAGGGGTCCCCTTCTATGGGCTCCATTCCTCACTCTTAGACGCTGCTGCCAGAAGCTCACAAGACACTTCTCCCCTCCCCCCATACCTTCAGTGCACCAGCCTTGGGATCTGTGTGCCAAGAACTCGGACACCATCTCTTTCCAGGAAGTTCTTTTCTTTGCCTGGAACCAGCTGTTGTTCCCATGACCCACTTCTACTGAGCAACCTCCTCCTTGGGGCAGACAGTGGCAATGGGGGGTGAAACTGATGCCCACAGGGCAGGCTGTGGGGAGGGAAGAGAACCTGCACAGACAGAAGGCTTCCATCTACGGTAGAATATAAGGCACCAACCACCAGTTGCTGTAAGGACCCAGAGCTGGGAGGTATTTCTTTCCTGGAAGCGGAAGAAACCACAGGAGCTGCTGCTCATACTTACTGCCTTGATTCTCAGAAATCTTAGTGCAGCATCAGTGCCCAGAGGCCGTGCTCCGCCAAGTCTGTGCTTTCTACCACCCTCACGTGTATTGCCAGGATGAAGGGCCTGAGTATTCCATGTGTGTATCTGGTGCAGTGCCAGGAGCTGGGATGCAACTCATGCTGGCAAGGCATACCAAGGTCTTGCTCTCTGTAAACTCACAGACGTGCAGCAAATCCTCAGAAACCGGCAGGTATACATTGTAGAAAACCGGCAGTTAGACACTGTAGACATCAGAGCTGATGTGAGGTGGATGGGTGCCCTGGATGCCTAGGATGTGGGGGAGGAAGGGAGGAAGAGGGAGGGAGGAGAAGAGGAGAAGGGGGAAGAAAGAGGGGGATGGGGGGATTAATCAGATTAGGAATGGAGGAGGAAAGTGATGGAGAGGGGATCAGGCATGGCAGCCTACAGGAAGCTTCACCAGAAGGAGGAATAGATGGGGCTGCCAAGAAAATATACAGGACACCCAGTGAAATCTGAATTTTAGATAAACAGTAAATACATTTTTTAAAGCAAAAGTATGTCCCCAACTATTGTATGAGACGTACTTACACTACAAGTTATGCATTGTTTAGCTAAACTTCAAACCTGACTGGGCATCCTGCTTTTATTTGTAAGTCTGGGGACCACAGAGAAAAATGCACATGGGAACTACAAATGGACGGGGTGGGGAGGGGCAGAGGGGGCAGGAGGAGAAGCCAAGCTAGCACGCTGGTGTCTTAATGCAGCTGGACTTTACCCAGGAGACAGTCCAAGGGTCACCGAGGGTTTAAATCCTAGAAATAGCCAGCTATTTTTACTTCTATCTTTACAAATTCGTGTCAAATTGTGCTATTTAACTCTAGTTCCTTCTTGAGGATAGTGCTTTGGGCCACAATTCATATGTTTGTAGACAAATTACAACATTCAGGAATGAATAATTGTTCAAGTTCAACTTGACAAAGACTCCTCTGGAGATTGAGGAAGTGTATCTCTGAGCAAACAGGCGGGGACAGTGCCCTTAGCCTTTTCCTCCAGGGAATGGCTGAAGTTGTCTTCCTAACTCTGAGCCTCAGACTCTCTTCTGACTTACACTGGAGCCACCACTACCTGGCCATAGGCAGGAAGGAGTACTTGGATGACGGGCAGCTATGCCGATCGGTGTCTGCTGATCTTATTCCTCAGTGGCCTAAAGATCACTGGTGAGTGAAATGCTAAGGAGATAGAAGAGGAGCCAGAGCGGAGGCAGGATTCTCCTCTCCAGGTTTTAAGTTCTCTGCGTGGAAGAGGCCACCAGCTAGGTCCTGGGAGGCCCCTCAGTGGTCCTGGTTTCCTGTCAGCTTTGAGACTAGTAAATGCCCCCTTAAACTGATATGAAGCAATAGGCGTGGCACTTCCCAATTTCCATGAGCAGGGGTGAAAGTAGAGCTTCATTTTGTCCCTGCTCACTTGAATTATTAGGGCAGGAGGAAGCCACGGGCTTCTCCTGGTTTATAGTTCTCAGACTCAGAAACCAAGGTTTCTGGGAGCTGTGTTAGGACAGTAGCATTTTAAACATTTAAAAAAGATTTAAAGCATTTAAAAAAATTCTTTGTTCTAGCACTTTCTCTTGTATATACACTATCGAGAAAGGGAGATTAGATATTGAAGTGTACGGTCTAGTGTTGCAAGATATTTGATTACACTGTGTACAGATATGTCACCCTGATTGGTTTAATAAAAAGCTGAGTGGCCCAATAGCTCGGCAGGATCTGCAGGCAGAGAGGACCCTGGGAAGAAGAAGAGAGAAACACAAGGGCACAGAGCAAGCAGCATGGGCACTCCAAAGTAAAGGTAACTGAGCCGCGTAAAAGAAATAGATGAAAAGAAACGAGTTAATTTAAATGATAAGAGCTAGTTAGAAACAAGCCTCAGCTATTAGCCAGTCTTCATAATTAATAATAAGTCTCCTTGTCGTTATTGGGAAGCTGACGGTGCCGACAAAAAAATCTGCCTGCAGTCTAGTGATGAAAATTAGAACGTAGGTGTGGTCGGCCTCGGCTGACGCTGTCCTGCAGTGTGGCTTCCGGGGACACTTTTCATGTCAAGCGGGATGGACGTCTATCAGCAGGGTCAACACTCAGCCTTTCCTTCCCAGCTGGTCCTTAGGAGGACTCAGGGAAATACAACCGTTGACATTCCTCATCCAACCTGACAGTTGTGTCCCCGGCCTAGTGCCAGAGTCAACAAGGCCGCCAGGATGCAGACCAGTTCTTCCTGTGAACGGCTTTGTGCAGTTGACTCTCCACTGGGGACTGTGCAGCCATCACACCTCACCTGCATGCATTGCCAGCACTGTAACAGAGGGTAGACCCAAGGCCTCCTGCTGTTGGGGAGAATTGCACACAGGTGAGAGAGGGGTGGGCTAAATCTCCATTCCACGCTAATCTTTCCAATGAGCAAGCAAACAGACACTTTAGCTGGAAAGAGGGTCTAGCCTGGGGAGAGAAAAAGAACCTTCTAGCAAACAGTTTTAGCCCTGACCGTTGCTGAATTGAGACAAGGTGCCAGGCCTCCTGCCTCTAGGCTCTGTGAAGGATGTGGTTCCCCAGCTGCTCAGGCAGGCCAGCACTACAGACTGTTTCTTGATTAACCCCTGGCCATCCACAGCCATGTTCTGCACGACCTTTCCCTCTACCCAAATAGGCCTGTTTGGCTTTGGGCACCTGTCACTGGCCCGGGAAGGACAGACGTGTTGGCCATCTGCAGCCGCTTCCCGATTGTGTGATGGAGTCCCAGCGTCAGCGTGCTGGCTTTAAGAAAAATATCCCTGCATCTTTGCAAGCTCCAGGGCTTTTACTTGGAACCAAGAAATCAGGTCTATAGAGTTGAAAATAAGAGTTGCCAGAGTTCTATAAACAAGTCGCCTGGGCCAGCAGCACCTCCAACTGTGTCTTGCCTCGCAACTAGGAGTGGCAGTCCATTTGCCGCCAGTGTGGCGCCACAGGGCATCCGTGGCTACCCCTCCAGCCACGCTGAAGGACACAGCATGTGGAGACCCAGAGAACTTCAAGAACTGCTTGTGCCTTCTCCGGCCATTCTGGATCACCCCCTAGCTCTCTGATTCTAAGGCAATGGAGTAATTCCCAGGAAGTGACTAGTGGGGTAGGGGAGCCCAGGGGACAGCCCACCTATTCCTGCCTGCTGGGCTTCTGCCTTGTTGAGCAGTGGTGGAGACATCTTTGGTTTTGACCTAGACTACCTGTGAGTTGGCGTGTATATCTAGCTCACTGATAGAGTTGGTAACCACCCAGACCCGCTGATAAGTGTTCATGTGTTTTTTAGTGCTTTGGCTTTCTAATCCACAAATATGTCAGCATGTGTGTGTGTGTGTGTTCGTGCAGATATGTCTTCCGCTGATCTGGGACTTGCGTTGGGTCTTGAAAATATCATTTAAAAAATGTAAGCTGTCCTCCAAAACTCACACCTATCCAAGCAGTATTGTCCTCCACAGTGAGCTCCTTTCCCCCTCTGCCTCCTGTCACCTGGAAGGGGGCTGCGGTTTGAACACAGCCACGAACACCACTTTCTCATAGACTTTGCAAAAGCCCAGGCTCATTTGGGAGAATTTAAAAGACCTATTTCCTAAGTTCAGCCTGCTCATCCGAGTAGCTGAGAAGTACATAAGCGGCACAGAATAAACCGTGGAGCGGAGAGCTGCTGGTCTGTTGCGCTGTTGCTTGGAATTGGGAAAACATGTAAAAGAAAAACAGTCTTCACAATCGCATCAATTTGCAAGTATGATGAAAATTCCTTTTTTTAAAACAAACCGACTCACATTAATTACAGCGTTCAACATCGTCTTTATCCATCGCACGCTTTAACTACTCTCTTCTCTCAGCATTTGCCTTCTTCGAAGTATTTGCTTAGTTTTTGCTTTTGCTTTTTAAGGGGTGTTGACCTGTGTCTAGTTCTAGAAAACCGATCCCTCTGGCCGGCGCGGCGATTGGTTAACAGCGCGGCTGACTGACGCGGTAAGGAGAGCGGCTCCCGGCAGCGCCGAGCTGATTGGCTGCGCGCGGGAGATCCAGGGCTCGGCCACCCGCACACCGCGCACTCGGGCTGCAGCGTCGCAAGTAGGTGCAGCCTCCCGCAGCCCGCCGCGCCTCCGCCAGCCGGGACGGCACTCTGTCCCCTGCGCCCCCTGCCCCGCGCCAGCCTCGCCGCGGCCTGCGGCATCCGTGGCCCCCATCGTCCCGAGACCCGGGGAGCAGCGCGCGGCCGCGAGCCGGACGGGGCCGGCCACTGCGCCTTTGTCCCCGGAGGCTCCGGGAAGTTTGCAGCGGGACGCACGAGTGAAGGCAGCGCGGGCAGCCCCGACGTCGCCGAGCAGCATGGGCAGCGGGCGCAGCGCGCGGAGCCGCGGCGGGGCCGCCTCGGGCTTGCTGCTGGCGTTGGTGGCCGCGCTGCTGGCCGCAGGTTCGGCCAGCGAGTACGACTACGTGAGCTTCCAGTCGGACATAGGCTCGTACCAGAGCGGCCGCTTCTACACCAAGCCTCCGCAGTGCGTGGACATCCCGGTGGACCTGAGGCTGTGCCACAACGTGGGCTACAAGAAGATGGTGCTGCCCAACCTGCTAGAGCATGAGACCATGGCAGAGGTGAAGCAGCAGGCCAGCAGTTGGGTGCCGCTGCTCAACAAGAACTGCCACATGGGCACCCAGGTCTTCCTCTGCTCGCTCTTCGCGCCCGTCTGTCTGGACCGGCCCATCTACCCGTGCCGCTGGCTCTGCGAGGCCGTGCGCGACTCGTGCGAGCCGGTCATGCAATTCTTCGGCTTCTACTGGCCCGAGATGCTCAAATGTGACAAGTTCCCTGAGGGCGACGTCTGCATCGCCATGACGCCGCCCAATGCCACCGAAGCCTCGAAGCCCCAAGGTAAGGGTGCTCCTTCCCACGCCTGCTAGCTCCCGCGTCCAGCCGCACTGACCCGGGCTGCAGCGGGGAAAGCCGGGGAGCTGCGCACTGCAGCCCACCAGGTGTGCAGACCCGATCCCGAAAGCTTCTAGGAGGCCCTGGGTCACTTGGTGCTTCTCCTGCCCCAGGTGCCCTGAGATTGCTGGGGGAGCCTTGGCCCGGGACGGGGGTGGGGTGGGGGTTGGGGGTGGCGGACTACCTGGAGCTGCCCTTCCTGGGCTCCAGTCTGGCGTTTTCTATACCTGAAACAAAGCTCAGCCAGAGTTTTCAAGAAAAGGAGGGTGCTTATCCTAAGCTTTAAACTTTTGAAACAGAGACTGCTCCCTAAGAAAACAACTCGCTCAAACGGCAGAAAACTCAGAGACTGAGGGAAAGCTTTGTTTATTTTCATAAATTTGAAAAGTATTTTTCCCTAAAAACAAAACAAACAGCAACAAAACATCCCTTCTCCTTAGTTCATCTTCCCGTCGTTTTGCAGAACTGGCTGAGGAGAGGAAGTTTAGGAAGAGCCACTTCTGTACCTTCACCTTGCATTTACCAAATCTAAGGGGTGCAAAAATCTCTGGTCCATCGTCCTTGCCTTCCCCCTGAGCCTCCCATTCACACAAATCCTTAGGTAATTAGAAAGATAAAAATGTAATTAGCTCATTGTTTATCTCCTCCTGGGGGGTGAGGACCTGCAAATTGGGCGCTTCAAGTTCTGAACCCTGGGGGAGCAGAATTTCTTCTGGAGACCCAGGATTTAAAGGGAAGGGTTTTTTGTTTTGTTTTGTTTTGTTTCTTAAATGTGAGAAGGGAAAAAATCTGGAGACTCTAAAACAAAAACAAACACAGAACCCAAAGTAGTTAGCGTGCAGCAGGAGCAGGGCGGGGGCAGTTACTTGGGGCAGGGTTCTTTTTTTGTGAGTTGAGGCTCAGGAATCACAGATATTCTTGTCCAGTGGCCTTTATCACAGAAGAGGGCACCCCAAGGCCATTTCTGAAGACAAAACTTTAACTTATCTTGAAGTGTTGATTGTCTTGGCTTTCTGAGACAGGGTCTTAGTGGCTTGGTGTGCAGCCCAGGCTGGTCTTGAACACAAATTCCTCCTGTTTCAGCCTCCTCAGCTCTGGGATTACGGGCATGTGCTGCCAAGTGCTTCTTGTTTAGTGCCTCATTTGGCTGCCTCAGAGTGAGGACTGGGGTAGCCGTGAGGAAAGTTTGAAGGCTCCTATTCATTCTAGGGAGGAAGGTAGGTCCAAAGTGATTGCCCTCGTCTGGCATGGGCCCCAGCCTGTAAGGTAAATGGTAGCCCTGGGCATCCCTGTCCTCTGGGCTGGTATGTGCAGCCTTTTGAGACAGCTCGCTGGGGGTTGAGCCTTTCCTTAGACCACAGCACTGTGTCTTCTATCCCCATTGAGTCCACCCCCCCCCCCCCCAGACCACAGTTTCCTTCCTAGCTCCTGCCTGCCAGGAGAGCCTGTGGCCAGTTTTGCTTGTGTTCTGTCCATTCCCCATGGTCCCTGATTGATTGCCCTTTTCTGGGGCTATTGGTGGGCACACAGTGGAACCCTGTGGGAAGCAGCTTTGTGTAAAGTGGCTGATGTTTGGGGGTGGTGCTGTTTCTGAGGACCTCCCAAACCAGTCCCTCCAAAAGACTGGCAGGGCAAAGGGCACACTCGCCCTGACCCCATTTCTGGATGCTTTTGTGTGATCCGGTTTGACCTTGCCTGGAGCTCAGGTGGAGCAATTCTTTGCTGAATAAAGAAAACATTCTCTCTCTCTCTCTCTCTCTCTCTCTCTCTCTCTCTCTCTCTCTCTCTCTTCCTCTCTCTCTCTCTCTGTATGTGTGTAGTGTGTGTTTGTGTTGTCTGGCAGGAATGTGACTGCGGCTCATTTTCTTTAAAGCGACTGATTTTTGTGAGTTACCAGTGTCTCTCCAGAATGACAAACCATCACCATCAGGGTGTCCCCACATGCTGTGTACCCCCCTTTGCCCTGCAGGGCTGCCAGACAGTCAGCTGACTGTTAAGCTGGTGTGTGTATAGAGGAAGGTTAAAGCAGATTAGATTACTGGTCCTCAGAACCTTAGACTGGTGGCCTCGGAACAAGACCTGGGACTGGGATGCTAATAAGTTCCATACAGGTGCCTTACTCTGTTTCTCATCCATCCTGTATTCTTAAAACTGAAATCTCAGATTCTCAACACAGCATTACATCTTAGCATACACAGGAGGATTGGGAAATTCTTTGTTACTAAAGGTAAACTTGCTCATGAGCGATGAGCCAAAGACTTGGATTTCCTCTCTCGCCAACAGCGGCTGCTCACGCCACCTTGGCTTCTGTGACGGGGAAGGTAATTGTCCTGTCCATCCCAGGAGACCGACTTCTAGATCTTGGACACACACTAGACTAATTTAGTAAGTTGTCGTTCTCCTTCCCGGCCAGGTTTCACCGAGTTGTATGAATGAGCCCTTCTCGTCCAGTTGTGTTGTTTAGGCATGTTGTGCATTAAGTCATAGACTGGAGAGGCCTGGGAGCCCCTACTTCTCCCAGAAGGCGCCCTCTTCTCTCCCCTTAGTGAGCTAGCTGCCCAAGGGAAATCAATCTCCCTGCCTTTCCCTCCTCCCGTCTCTCCACCCCCTCCTCTTCCCCACTCTCTCCACTCCCAATGCTCATTGATTTTACCGAGTCATCTTCGTCCTGATTCCAGTGTTGGCTTTCCCCTCTAGTTTCTTGTAAGCATTACCAACGTGCAAAATCTCTTAGTCTTTATTCACTGTCTTTACGCTTTCCAGCTAGGATGTGGTTTACCTGTCCAATGAACTAACTCTCAGTGGATTGATTCCTCCTGTGAGGTCGCCTGGCAGGGCCCCAAAGACACACGAGGGGCAGAGATTAATATTGCATTACACATTCTTCTCTCTCTGGCGAAAGCTGCTCAGCTCCTGGCTGCAAGTATCGAGAAGAGGGAAAGCCACGCTGAACATAACCGGTGACCCACCCCCACCTACCCTGCGCCTTCCTCACCAGCAGCACTGATACTGTGCTTAAGGGCCATGCACAGGCTGAGACATCTGTCCTGTTGGGGTGCAGAGCCATAGAGGGCCAGTAGAATTGGGGGTGTATGAAGGAGACCAATAAGACTTGCTCTTTATGTTTGGATCCCTTGCTGCTTCTTTGCTCAACAGTTTATACCTTGAACTTTGCAACGTGATAACTTCTATTAACAAAGAAAGGCAACCATAAAAATTACAGCTAGGAAACCTAAACACATAGTTCATGTTCCTATTATAGGTCACATGGTCCTGTCTATAACTTCCTTTCCTTTTTCTTTCTTTCTTTACATGGAAGCAAACACCATGATGGAGACTTCTGGGTAAGAGGTTTTCGTTGTTGTTGTTGAGAAACATTACTTCCAGAACCCAATCTCAAGCTCTGGGAGCAAAACAAACATATTTCCAACATCTGGCCCAAAGAGTTTTGCTAGCCTCGCCGCCCCCTCCCCCAACTTTGAAAGGTATATGTGGAGAGAAACTAGTGGATACAGACTAAAGGTGTGTTCCCAGTCTTGGAGGGAGAGGGCTGGGGATCAGCTGCATCCCAGCCCCACGGTGCCCATATCAGTGCCCAAGCCACGGGGAAGGGGGAGGGAGAAGAGATGGTGTTGGTGAGCCACAGGCGACAGGAAGTGGAAGGGAGCAAGTGGAGGTGCTCAGCACCCCAAAGCCACCTTGACTGCTGTCTCAGGGCGACTGCCTTTCAGCTCCAGCTGGGATCTGGCTTTCAGTGTCCAGGGTGTCCGAAACAGACTCTGTTTAGTGTACTTGTGGTTTTCTAGGTCATCAATAAACTGTAAATTGTTTGATAGACAATGAGGAGGAGAGATTATAGGGAGATGATAGGCTACTTCTACCCTTGGTTTCTCCTGTACACTCTTTCTGCCCTTCCAAGGAGGCCTTGGAAGCCACCTCCCACAGGGGCCTAGCTATCTTTCAGTTACTTGTCCTGCATATGTGCACGTGTGTGAACATACACACATACACACACACACGCACACGTGCATGCACGCACGTATACACATGTGCATGCATATGCACATGCAAATACATGTGCATGCACACATACACACATGCAAACACATCCATGCACGTGCACACACACGCACCATGCACACTCCTCTTCAAAGCACTTCATGAAAGATCATCTAAAGGGCTTCCTCCTCCTCTGCTCTGTCCTCCATTTGGTGACTCCTGCTAACCCCTCCCCTCCCCCGCTTCACAGCCTGCTTTCTGGAGTCCCTATGGCGCTTCAGAGCCCTGGGCTTGAGTAATTGAGTATGACTGTTCCCTTGGTCCTTGAGACCTGGTCAAATTGATAGGCTGTCTTGTTCAGGGTTTGCAGATAGGAAGGGGGCCCGGAATCGGGGGTGGAGGGGTAGATAAAGGAGAGGGAAGATCAGTTTTGGTTTATAAGTCAGCCTTTTATCTTTCAGATACTCATAGCAGCCTGGACCTGCCCCTACCTACCTCAGATAGCATAGATTAAATCATCGTCACATCCAACATATCTAGGCCAAATGTTTGAAGAAAACATCCATCTGTTTACACGCCCTTGATCCCTTTATTGCCATTGGCTGGACGCCTTTCCAGAATCCCAGACTTTTAGCCCTTGTTAGCCTGGCCCCCATCTGCTCCCTTGCCTAGGGGTCCCCATCACCATGACTTACAGCTTCTGTTTCGGCTTGCTTCCCCTCGCTAGGTACAACCGTGTGTCCTCCATGTGACAACGAGTTGAAGTCGGAGGCCATCATCGAACATCTCTGTGCAAGCGAATTTGGTAAGCTGGAGGTCCAGCCTCACGCGGGGCTCTTGGAATCCCCGCCTTTCCCTGTCCCGTGTCTCCGCTCAGCCCGTAACATGGAGCTCATGGGGGGAGCATCGTGTTCAAGCCTTACCTCCTCTGCCTCCTTCTTCTTGTTTTCAGTCCAGGTAGAGTGGAGCAAGGGCCATCTTTTATTAAAGTTAGGCTACCTACATCTATGTCTCAGATTTGGGGAGACCTTCTTTGATGGCAGAGGGAGACAGACTTGGGGACTGGGTGAAGCCCTTCACCTGCCACAGCAGTAGCCCTGGCTTGGCTTTCTGGGTGGTTTGATTTTTATATCCACCCCTAGGTGTCAGCACTACTCTACCCTGGGCTAAAATGGCCCCAGTGTGGGAGGGGTACCTTCCCAGGAGGGGAGATTTCTATGCTAGGGGCCTCCTTGGCCAAGAACATTGATGTTGACACAGGAGTGTGTTTTCTCTCTCTCCTTCCTAAGTCACTCTGGGTTGAAGAAGAATTCGGAATCAACACCTGCAGCTGCCAGAGTGAGGTTAGACTGGGCTAGGAGCAAATTCAGGGCCCTTCTAGGATGGCCCCTCTGGCCAATAGGAAAGCCCAATGACTCGCGAACCTGAGCTGTGAGCTTTTGGAGCTTGCTCGCCCTCACTATTGGGTCTCCACTGCTGGGTGTAGAGCAGTAGCCAAGGCCAGACCCATTTTGCTGAAGGGCAGATTGAGGCTGATGCCTGCAATTCCGGGTTGTGTCTCTGGGAGTGGATTTCCCACTTCTTACAGGAGAAAGCATAAAGGTAGGAAGTGCGAGCTTTCACGTCTGTGCAGCGCCACCTCCTCTGTGCGTGTGATAGCCCCATAGGATGAAAAGCACAGGAAGAGTCTGGTCTTGGGAAGAGCTGTGCTCCAGTGAGCCACACACGTGGGGGAGGGAGCACTCCCAAGCCCCAGGAGTTTGTGTGTCATGGCGCACATATTCACAGGGTGTTGGCAGATGTATGTACGGAAGCTGAATTGTTCAAATCGTTCACCAAAGAGACCTTAATGAGAATAGATGCTTATTTATTGATTTTTTTTTAAAGCTACGTGTGTGTGCTAGTGTATGTGGAGGTCAGGGGACAAATCTCATCATGTGGGCCCTGGGGGCTGAGCTCAGTTATCAGGCTTGGTGACAAGCACCAGTACTCTCTGAGCTTATGGCATCCCAGTTTTTTTTATAGTTATAGTTATTTCTGATGGTTTTAATTTTGATATCAAATGTCTATATATGCCTTATTTGGTTTCCATTACATTTTGTTGCTTGTGCGAGTCACACCCTTGTTGTTTTAAAAAAAATTTCAGACTTTTTTTTTTTAAACAATCTTGAATGTATCTCAGTCTGGCCTATCACTGGCTGTGTAGCACAGGCTAGCTTCAGACTCTCCATTCTTTTACATTGACTTCCTGAGTTGTTGAGAAAATAGCTACAGGCCACCATACCATAGATACCTTCTGCAATTTTATTTTGAGTTCGTTTAGAATGTTAACAAGGAGCTGGGTATGGTGGTGCATGTACCCATCACTTAGGGGTGGGGCCAGGGGGCCGGTCTTGAGTTTTAGACCAGTCTGGGCTATATAGGTAGACCCTGTCTCAGCAAATGAACATGTTGCAGATACATGGAAAGGCTGGTGACTCTTCCACTCCCATCTTGATATTAGCTCCATTTTGCTCCCCCAGGAGGTCCCCAAACTGGGCTCAGCCCAGTGGGTTTCCCTCATACAGCGTGTGGATACACAGCCCCATATTGCTATAGCAGCAAGCTTCTCAGCCGCAAAGATGTACCGGGTTCTTCCCAAGGATAAACCTGGAAGGAAAGGGACCCGGAATTGCAGAGAAACCCTGGCAGGGAAGCCTTTAGTTACATGATGAGGGCTGGGAGAATGGGCTTAGATGTGGCTGAGGTCCCAGAGGCTCCTCAAGAGGGCTAACGATGAGGCTGTTCTTTCCCATGCCATATCATAGGTCAGAGTGTTCACTTTTACCAGTTGCCCTGGTGTTGTGTGAGTTTGGGGAACCATCTCAGATGGAACCCAGAAAAATAACACCTTGCTGGATGCTTCCCTGTGTTTATGGAATTTTATCAGGTTCTGGGAAGAATGATGGAAATCCCTAGATCTGAATGCATGGAGGTGACCTGCTAAGGAAGTTCCCAGCTCATGGTGTCTGTGTCTGAGTCTTCCCCTGCATATACTCTTTCACCTGGCATTCATTGAGTACAATGGGTTAGGCTCCATGCGGATCCAAAAATACCTACCTGGAATAGATTAAAATTTAACATCCCTATCAGACCTTTGGCAGTGGTTTTCTGGAGAGTGGTGGATTTCAGTTAGAGTAGAGGTTATAGGAATTTAAGGGCCGGGTCAGCTCAGCCTTGTGGAGAAAGTGCGTGTAGGTCCAGAATCTTTGTTGAAACTTCCAATCCCAAATCATCATTAAATCTCCTTTTCTCTCACTTTCTGCCCACAATGCTGTTCTCTGGGGGGTTTGTGCAGCTAAAGTACATACATTTGGAAGAGGCACGCCTTCAGAAGAACCTGCTATGGTAAGCTTGGTTTTCTAACAAAGGCAGTGCCATAACCAACCCATGTTGGGTGTCCCTCTATGGCAGTAGGACCCCCGCCAAGCCAGCAAGCCCCGAGGCCTTAAAGGAGTGCCTCATTAGTGACCAGTGGGGCATGGTGAGCAGGAGTGACGGGCCCTTTAAGACTGCCTCCTTGGAACGCTAAGAGTGTTTTCTTCTTGGGTTCATGAGGTCCTCCAAGACCTTAGTCTTCATTTTACCAGATCCTCACATTTGATGAGCTAGGAGCTGACTTTCCCCCTTGAAACACTTTGTCTCACCGAGGAACTTGTTTTCTCCTTTCCTATGAGATGAGAAACAGTGCTAGGACCATCTGTGCACGGTGACAACTGGGCGCGCTAGGCCTTTCTGAGGGATGGGAGAGAGTTTCTTGGCTTTTGGCTTGTAAAATTTTCCAAAGATGATCAATAGGATTCTTCCTTCCCTTTCTCTCTGTAGGGACCGAGCTTAGCCCTGCCCTTCTTAGGAGGCAGCCTTGTTGAGAAACTTGTTGCCTAGCTCGGCTCATTTCAAGGAAGAGAGGCAGTCAGCCACACTGATAGGATTCAGTTAGAATACAAAGACGTTTGACAATGGCAGGCTAACACACAGCAAAGAATGTTTGACTCCCCTCTCCAGGGATCAAGCTTTATATTAAGTGGCCCTGGTGTCCCCAGTGGGAGGACATCAGTTGCTGGAAAGCATTGCTTCTTAGAGGTGAGCACACACACGCTCCCTCACTTGCTCCCTCTTGGCTCCTCCATCTGTGCATCTTAGCTTTTCCACAGCCAGCGTGGAGCCGGACATGCCGAGCCTGTTACCTTTCCCCTGAAGGATGCGTTTCCAACTTCATGGCTGTATTCACTCCATCCTCTTGCACGCTCCCCTCTCTCAGTGCAGAGTGCATTTTTTTTCCCTCACTAGGCAAAAACAACAGTAGGAAGTCTGCGCTGATGCTCAGGAATGCTTCAGATCAGCCTGGATCCAGAGCAGCCCATGGGGGTGGGAGGCCGCAGTCAGCTGACGCAAAGCCTTCAGACTCAAAATGGTGGTCACCCAGCCTGCTGTACCACAGTCGGGACCCACAGGTCTGCCTGGAGTCTTCCCTGTGGTTTCCCACTACTCTGTGACTGGGTGCTTTTGTCAGCACCCACAGGATAACTTTGTGGCTGATGGCTCATGCCCACAGCCACCTCTCTCTAGGTTAGTTACCTGATTCATAGTTGCTGTGGGGTTCTTACTGTACTTCCAGTTACTTTGTTTAGCTTCTGTTTCACTTCCTATGAGTGCATTCAGGCCTTTCTACAGTACCCAAGTGATGATTCAAGGTGCTTTCTGAGGAAGGACATCTTTACTTTTGGGATCTGCAAGTTCTCCTGGCAGCTTCTTCAGCCAGCGTTTTCTACTCAAGAAGAAAGGTTTCTTTACCTTCCCCCACCCCCCGCTCGAGTTTCCTTGCCCCCCCCCCCCTGAGAGAATATCGCCCCTTTGTTTGTTTATAAGTTTCCTCAAAGAGAAAAAAAAAAAAGGTACTTGGCAATCAGTAAAATTAGTCAAATAGGAAAAGAAAAGAAAATCAACTCTGAGTCAGCACTGGGAAGGTTTCCTAGAAGGATTTCCTGTGGTCCCTGCTCCTCCGTGGATCTGTTCTCACTCTGCCTCGCGACTCAAGGTTTCCTGGCTGAGTGGCTGTTGGAGGACCAATCTTCGCTCTGCAGGATGGTTTGCTGAGCTGCTGTTGAAAGTTGGGTGTGTGTGTGTGTGTGGGGGGGAGGGCTGAGCTTCCCTGCAAGGCGGTTTGCTCTCTTGCAGAAAAAAGTCAGCTCAGACTTTCCAAACTAAACTTCGGGTTTCCTCTTGGAAATGGGGGAAACCAGCTGCCAGCATGGCAATTCTAGCGCTGGAGCTGCTTGCGAGCAGGCTGTGTCTAGGACCAGATTTACCTCCTGCGTGATTAATAGATGCTCTATCAGCCCTGTACCACTGACAAAGAAAACACAACTTCATTGCTTAAATGTGAAAGAAAAATCTGCGTCTTAGAACAAAATAAGGCCCCATTTGTAGTCAGACTGGTCCCCGGGCAATGCCTCACACACAGCAGGAGACCATCCCTCTGGAGTGACTATGTGCAAATTGTTATTAAATTGAGGGAAGCAACATGCTAGGTTTGGAGTGACTGGTCCAGTTCATTCGGAGAAGTGGTGTTAGTGAGACATAGCTGAGGACACCTAGAATTCGCCAACATGTATCTCATCCTTATTCTCTGAGCTTGAAACAGTTGCCAACCGTTCCAAGCCCTGGGAATTGTTGAGCTGGGGGGCCCTTTGATCCAAGCACTGCCTGTACAAGATGGCTCACAGTCTGTATCTCATTGTAACCAGACTACCTGATGCATGCATG